AGAAATTTTAAAAATATAAATAAAATATTAATATAAAATTTGTAAATGAATGATTCTAAATGTTGTTCTTTTCCTAATTATCTTATCTTTCGTTCATTCAGGCTATTTGCTAAATGTTTGAGAGTAATTCTGAATATTAATTTGATTCAGAAGGTATGAATGATCAGATCTGTGTTTATGTATGTGTGTGTATGTTTATGTATGTATGTGTATGTGTGTATGTTTATGTATGTATGTGTATGTGTGTATGTTTATGTATGTGTGTGTGTATGTGTGTGTGTATGTATGTATGTTTATTCCTTTTTTTTTTTCGATTAAAATACGTAATGTTTTATTGTTAAACAAATAAATGGCATAGAAATAAACGTTCGCTATCAAATTTTTCATATAATTCGTAGCTCTTTTTTCACGGTCATATCGATTTATCTAATTTTATTGTAATATTAAAATATGGACTTATTAATTGATTGATTGATTAATTAATTGATTGATTGATTAATTGATTAATCGATTGATCAAAGTATATTTTAGCATGGTAAATCATATTTCATGTATTTATCATATAATTATTAGATTTTTTAAAATTTAATTTTTCAATAATTCTCATTTATTTATCGACCTTTCTCTGTTTTCATTTTTTTCTTTCTATCTTTTTCTTTTTACATTATAATTTCTAATTTAAATTTCTCTTATTACATAATTCTTTTGTTATAGAAAAAGAAAAAAAAAATAAATCAAATTTGAAAAAAAAAAATTTCTTTTTTTTTTATCATTTTGAATTGATTTACAAATAATAATGTAATGCTTGGATATAGGAATATATATATATGTTTATGTATATTTAATGCAATGATATTAATCATTTCGATTGAAAAAGAAAAAATTTTGCAAATATTTTAAGATGAGGGCAGGGCGGAGGAGTTAGGTTCAGCAGAAGAAATGTTAAATAGTATTTAGTTTTTTTTGATTTAATTTTATTTGAATCTTATGCAATTTCAATATTTTATAAATGTAATATATACTTTTACATATTTCATTTCATTTTTCAAATCGACTATTTTTAATTTTTTTTTTTTCTTCTCTTCCTGTCTCTTTCTCTCTCTCTCTCTCTCTCTCTCTTAGATATTATCAATTCATAGCAATAATATTTCATATTTGTCTTCTTTCTTTTTTTCACATATAATAAATTTATTGGAAAAGATTGAGTTTTTTTTTTCTTTCTTTTTTTTGTTGTCCAATAATTTGTTATCAAAGTGATAATAGTGAAAGAAAGAAAAAAAATGATAAGATTTATCACATTCATTTGATTAATATAATATTGATGCATTCTTGAATTAATCATGCCAAATTTTCTAATCATTTATTTCATTTTTCTTATCATTTCATACTATAATATAGTATTTTATTAATAAAAATTTTCCACATTTTATTGATTTAATTATTTATTCAAATTCATTTAACATATTATTTTCATTGATTTTAATTCGTTTCTTTTTTTTTTCCTTTTTTGATAGAATATTGAAAATGAAATAACGTTAATGTTATAATTATATTACTTTTTTTTTTCTGTTAGATTATACTTCTCGTTTATAAGTCAAAAAAAAGAGAAAAATGAAAAAACAATTCATTGTTTATGAGTTCCACTTCTTTGGCGATAAATTGTGATGAAATTATGATAGTGGAGTGATAAGAATGATAGCGATAGTAGTAGTAGTAGTAGTTGCTATCGCTATCATTTTATAATTGCTAGAGGACATATCAGAAAATGGCAGTGGTATGACGATAGTAATGGTAATAATAATAATAATAATAATATTGATAATAATAATAAGTAAATGAATATTAATAGTAAATGATAATAATAGTTACAATAATGACAATAATAGTAATAATAATAATAGTAAATAAATAAATAATAATAATAGAATAATAATATTAATGACAATAATAGTAATAGTAATAATGATGGTAATAATAACAATGATAATAGTAATAATAACGAGACGAGATGATGTGTTTTAGTGCAGTGATATGAGAACGCATTATGGATGAAAGCTCAAAGTTTGAACTTAGCTAACAAATAAGCTAGCTGCCTAGTCTGTTTAGTTTTGATATGTATAAATGTATGATACGAGTTAACTAACCAACTAAACTAAACTATATTAAGCATCCGTCTGTGGTCTCTTCTCTCATCGAATAATTCAATCTTTTCCATTGGTCTATTTAACTTAGCTACTGCTATCTAAACTAAGCTGTTTAGTTAGTCAGTTAGACAGAAAGTCTAGTTAGTTTGATTGATTGATGAATTGATTAAATATTTGCAACAGTTATGCATTAAAGTACGATTACGATTATATATAATATTAGCATTAGTATAATTTATTATTAAATCTTTAATGATTTATTCGTTATTATTTTATGATATTTCTTTCTTTTTTTTTTTTTTTTTTTTTTAATAAATTACAAATGTTTTCTGTTTTAAATTAATATATATTTTGTAATAAAATTATGAATTTTTCCTTTTTTTTTTGCTTTTTTGTTTGAAATATTATTTGATTTAATTTAATTTATCGTTTAATTTTGTTTAATTATAATAATTTAAATTGTTTGAGTGAAATTTTGTATAATAATTAAACAAAATGCATTTCCTTTATGATATTTATTAAAGCATTTGTATAATTTTGTGCTATATAATTAAGCATTACATAATTTATGAATATTACTTAATTGTACGATAAATTATAATATTCTCAACATCTGTCTTATTTGCATATACAAATTATTGTTTTCATTTCTAATTTAAAAAATTTTAAATTTTCAATGAAATTTGTTATTTTCAATTAAATCTCTACTATTGTTTTGCATTTTTTCTTTTTCATCGTATTCTTTTCTCTCTCTCTCTCTCTTCCTTTCTCTCCCTCTCTCTCTCTCTCCGAATATTTTATTTGATTTAAATGTGAAATTAAAAATAGAAAAAGAAAGAAAGGAAAAGAAATGTGTAAAATATGGGAAAGCTAAATTTAATGCATAGGAAAAGATTTGAAATTGTTAAAAATGTCATCGTAATAAGATAAAAAGAAGGACAGGCATGGCAGGTAGATAGATAGAGAACTATTAAATAATATTTAGTTTAGTCTTTTTTTTTCTCTCTTTCTCTCTCTCTCTCTCTCTCTTTAGTTACCTTTCTGTTGTCAATAATTTAAAAATTCGATGAAATTGTTGAAATTTATTGAAACTACGAAAATTTTTCGATTAAAAATGTTTGTATTGAAAAAAGGAAATCATTCAACAAAAAAAAAAAAAAGAAAAACATTTTTGTAATGCATTAATAGTAGTAATAATTGGTTTTTTTTTTTGAATTCAGCAAGATTTATTCATTTTATTTGAATCGGATGAATATATTTTCAACTATAAATTCCTCTCTTCTTTTTTTTTTCTCTCTCTCTCTCCCCTTTTACTCTTTCCTTTCCCTTCCTCCCACTCACTCTCTCTCTCTCCTTTTTATTTTTTTCTAATACATTCATTTTTCTATTTTTAATTTTTTAATTAATCAGGTTAAATAATTAAAATTATCACAATAAGTATATAACGATAACAAACAGTATTGTTTTGTTTGTATTTAAAATTTAATCGCTAATTTTGATAAATTATTCGTTCAAATGTTTTATAAATTCTAAAATTAGTAATATGTATATTTATATGAATTTTTAATTTAATATTAAATAAAATTATCTATGATAATTTTGGTCTATTTTTAATAATGCATTATGATAGATTATGGCGAAAAGCTTAGAATACTAATTAATTAATTAATTAACTTTGGTGTTGTTACTTCTAAAATTTCAAACATTCGAAAATTTTATTTTTCTTGAATACTTTCTAATATGATTAGTATTCAGTTTATTACAAATTATCATTATCATTTATCATCCTTATTATTAATATTTTATTTTTATTTATTTTTTTATTTTTTTTAAAATAATATAATCTCTGTTATGTTACTATGATACATACATTAGTAATTTATATTTGTAAATGAATGAAAAAATTTACAAAAGATTTTGTTTGATTTCTTAAACTAATTAACTACTGCGATGATTTATTTCATAATGTTTGTCCTTTTTGACCTTTAACCTTTCGCTTTCACCTTTAACCTTTCGCTTACAGCTTTTTTTTTCTCTTTGTTTTTGCTACTCTTATTTTATCGATTAAGTGGTGACAATGCGATAGTGTGCAAATTTATTGTTGCTTTAATTTAAACTGTTAATTAAAATCGTATTAATTAACTTTATATTAAAAATTTTTTCTTTTTCTTTTCTTCTCTCTCTCTCTCTTTCTCTCCTTCCTTTTTTTTCTGTATTTATCAGTTTGTTTTTTTTTTTTCACACATATATGTGTGAATATATTTGATTGAAGGAAACAAAAAAAAAAAAAAATTTTTTTTTAATTTTCAGATTTTTACATCTGTAAATATCAATATTGAAGCATATTAATATTAATTAGTGTGTTAATATCGTTCACACAAAGATATTACTACTATTTCTATTATTGCTTCAATTAATTTATTCTTCCAATTATTATAAATTATTATTACAATTATTACTATTACTATAACAACTACCACTAATTATTATCATTATTATCATTATTACTGCTGCTGCTCTTATTGCTACTACTACTGATACGACGGCAAATTATCAAAATAAATAGCAGCAACAACAATATTAGCATACTGTTGTAAACAACAACAACAACAACAACAAGAAATATTATTCTTAATTTGCTACTGCTACTATTGTTAACTACTACAATAACAATAACAGGAAATATTACTGCTACTACTACTACAAATACTATTTATTTACTTATAACTCTATAGCAAATAATTGCAATAATTTGTTTTTGTTTTTTTTTTTTTGGTGATTTATTTGAATGTTTTGGGTGAAAAAAATTAAATTATTGAAAAATTGATTTAAAAAAAATTTGATGCAATAAATGGTATGAAGGAGAAAGACCAAACATCGATATGTGTTGAGGAGGAGACAAATACGACAAATAATACCACTAATACGACGACAATATCATCAAATACAAGCAAAGAAATTTTTGATGATTCTTGCTTTAAAGCACCACTTCTTCTACCACCACGGTAAGAAAAAAAAAAATTATTAATAATAATTTTGATTAAAATTCTATTTATTTTATTTTATTAATAAATATTTTTGTGTATTAAATTACTTTTTTTTTTTTTTGCAATTCATTAATTTAATTTTAATTGTATGAAGATAATTTCAAATACAAATATTTTAATTATATAATTTATCGATAATTAATATAGTTTAATAAATTGTTGGGAAAAAAAAAACAAAATAGAATAATTGGGCATTCTTTTTTTTTTTTTTTTTTTTTTGAAGATATATTTAAATTTATTTTAGCTAATGAATAATCAATTTTATCTCATACAACGCTAACTTTTTGATATAAAATGATAAAATTTTTTTTTTTGAAATGAAAAAAGTGATAAAAAACTATTTTATGACAATTTCAAGATTTGATTAGATGTAATTATCCCATATAGTTAACATTGCAAAAAAACTTTTTCTGTTTCTTTTCCTAAAAAAGTAACAATTAACGGATGAATGTTTAACCTTTGACCTTTGTGAATAATATAATTTAGTTAGTTTGATAATCGTTTTGCAAAAACTTTTAAACTTTTACTAATCTTTTTCATATTTGTCTTTTTCAATTTAAAAAAAAAAAACATACTCTTATTTTTTTGAAAGAATTAATTGTGATAATGACAAATAATTTCCTCTTTTTTAACTTTACATCTATCCATTTGAATTAAATTAGGTCATCGAGCAATATTTTTAATTGATATCGAAAATTGAACTAAAAATTTGAGATAAATTGAAAAATTAAAAATTTGAGATAAATCGATTATTGATTTATTAGTAAAATTGATTAATACATATTGATTAGGCATATTTTATCATTTTAATCTCAGATTAATTCTTTATTAATTTATTATTTTAATTAATAATAACTTAAAATGATCAATTGACAAACATTTCTCATTTATTTAAATCAAAAAATGAAAAAAAAAATGCATTCTTTGAGTTTAAATGAAAATAAAACGAAGGGAGGGACTACTTATCAAATTTTACCATTTATAAGAATAAGAGAGAAAAATATAGTATTTTTGAAATTTGATATTAAATTAATTTTGGAAGAAAAAGGAGAGAGCGAAAGAGAGAGGGAGAGAGAGAGAGAGAGAGAATGGAAGAAAGAAGCTAAATACAAAGCTGAAAATTTTCCCTTTTTTCTTCTCTCCTTTTCTCTCTCCCTCTCTCTCTCTCTTTTTCCCTCTCTCCCTTCCTCTGTTAAAATCTAAATTATTAGCAAATAATATGATAATCATATGTTTTCTCTTTTATTAATTAATTTATTTATGACAATTTGCATAATTTCATTTCATAATATTATTTCAAATAAAATAATTAAATTTCAAAAAAAAAAGATGAAAATGGAGAATAATTTTAGACTTATTTTATCTGTGAAAAATATTTTATAAATTTGATAAATTCAGAGAATGCTATAATATTCATACTAATTAAATATTTTTCATATTAAATTTCATATTAAAAAAATTTTTTTTAAAAATTAAATATTTCAATGATATAGTAGCAGTAATAGTTAAATATTTAAAAAGAATTTAAACTTTCAATGAACAATGTTTTTGTGAAAAATTTTTTTTTTGTAAATAATCGAAAAGGGAAATTCAATTTTTAAAAAAGAAATGTAAAATAAAATCAAAAAAAATAAAAAAGAAAAATTCTTTCTTTTTACAATTATTCATTTATTTGATTATTAGTATTCTCTAAACTTATTAATTTATAAAATGTATACTTCTCATAGATATACATATGTTTTAATTTATAATAACTTTTTTTTTTTTGTGAAAAAAAATTGAAAAGGAAAAAATAATATTTTGTAAAACTTTTGAAATTTATTAATTTCTATTTGAAATAGTTTTTAATCCTGTAAACTTTTCTTTTTTTCTTTCTCTCTCTCTCTCTCTCTCTCTCTCTTTTGCTCATCAATTGTTATTCATTTTTATTGCAGCATATAATATAAGAAAGAAGGAAAAAAAAAACTTTTTTCTCATTCATTTTAAAATTAAATGCATTTAAAAAAAAAAAAAAAAAAAAAAGGAAAGAAATAGGAGGAAAAGAAAAAAAGATGAAAATGTGTTAAAATATGGGAATGAAAGAAACGGAAAAGTCATTTCTTTTCTTTTTTTTGCTATCATTTTCTATTTACGATTATTTTTAGCTATTTTATTCTTCATTTTCCTTTCTCTCTCTCTCTCTTTCTCTCTCCCTCTCCCTCTCTTTTTCCCCCTTTCTATCTCATGTCTCTTTATTCTTTGTTAAATTTAATATATATTTTTTTGTTGATAAAATTGATAAATATTTGATTATTTAATTATCAAGTATATGTTTGCAATTATTTTTAGAAATAGAATTGTAATAATTTACTATTTTAACTTTTTTTATATTTTACTTTTCTTAATTTTATTTTATATTATTTATTATTAATTTATTTTATATTATTTATTATTAATAATAAACTGAAAAAAGCAGGATGGATGGTAAATTTTGCACATTTTTTATTAGATTATGCAATTTAAAATTTATATTTTTAAATAATATAATTAAATTATGTAATTTTATTTTCTGATATAAAATTCGAAATTACAGGAAGAAAGATTTATTAAGAAAACGATGAAATTGCTAGAATTAATAAAATGTTATAAATAATAATGATAATAATAAATATTGTAAAATTGCTGCCAACATTTATCAATCATAATAAATTGTTAACAATTAATTATTTTTTTCTTTCTTTTTTTAAAAAAGTAAAAATAAAAATAAAAAATGAAAATTTAGTTTAAAATAACTTTGTAAGATTTATATATATGTACTTATCATGACTGATTAGTGCTGATTACTTTTTTTTTATCATTTATTATTTAATTACATGATTTATTTTCCCATACTAATTATTCATTTTTGTTTTTTTTCGCTTTCTTTTTTTTCTCTTAATTTTTGAAATTTTAATCATAACTATTATTTAATTTTTAATTAGTTAAATTAACATTACAAAAAAATATTCCAATTTTATTTTCATTTATTAAATTTCATTTTTGTACTTTTCATTTTAATTTTCATTTTATCGAGCATTTTGATGATGCATTGCATTCTTTTAGATAAAGAAGGGATTTTCATCTTTTACAATTTTTCTCTTTTTTTTTTTTCATTTAATGCATTATTTTATTTTTATAGCATTTGAAAGGATTAAAAAAAATAATAATTTCGTTTAATATACATTAATTTTCTTTTTTTTTTTTTTTAAATCAATTTAACAATTTCTAAAATATAAATGAGTGAGTTTAAAGTTTAAAATTTACATTGTAATAATTCAATTTTAAGAAAAAAAGAAAAAATGAAGAAATTAAAATATTTTCAATATATCATTTTAACTGAGTTTTTTTTTATATTTTTTTTAAACAAATTTATATATATTGATTTTTTTTTTTTTTTTTTTTTGAAATTTAATTTTTTTTCCTTTTTTTATAGGAAAAGTGTTGGACGTCGTCGTGGTAGTTCACTTCGTAACGGACAAACAATTAACGTTGATTCAATAACAAAACAATCGTTAAGTTTAATTCAACCTACTAAAAATGTAAAAGAGGGAACGTCAACTATTTCAAATGTAAATTTTTGTTTTTTCAATATTATATTGAATTTTAGTTTAAAAAAAGTTATTAAAAAAAAAAAAGAAAAAGAAAAAATATAAAAAAATGTTTAAAGTTATTTATTTTTTAAAAAAAAAAACCTTAAAAATTTCTTTAATTTAGCTTATGTAAATCATATTTAAAAGGAAAAAAAAAATTATAATAAATAATTATTGCTTTGATTTTTTTTTTTGTTTTGTTTGTCATATATGACAGATAGTTAATATTATTTTAAATAATTTTGTCATATTTATTTGAGTGTGAAGAAAATATGAGAAAATGAGAATTATTATTATTAAAATGAAGCTATCATATTCATAAATGATAAAGAGAATATGTAAATGATAAGCATTAGTAGATTGTATTTAGTGCTAATTAAATATTTAAATTTGTGATATCGTACAAAGCGCACTATTCAATTGAGAAATATTTAATAAATAAAAGCAAATTACGGTAAATAACAATAATAATAGTAATAATAATGATAATAATAATATTGATAATAATAATGATAACAATAATAATAATAATAATAATAATAATAGTAATAGTAATAATAGGAATGATGATTAAAAAATAAACATAAACAATTTTATGGTTAAATTAATTTAATTATCCATCTATGTATATAACAATTAATGATAATGATAATGATAATAATAAGAAGAATATGAATAACAATAATTGTTTAATTAGAAATTTATACTAATCATTATAAAATATTTAAATTCATTAGAAAAAAAAATTTCGATATTTCTATGGAAAAAAAAAATGAAAAAACATAAACAAAAATTTTTGCTATACAATTCATAAATATGAAGAAAGATTTATATTTTTTTTTTTTTTGTTTCCTTTTTTCTTTCTTTTTTTAATAATTTATATTTGCTTCAGTAAGCAACTAGATTGAATATAAAATTCATCATGATTAATTTTCTAAAAATTATCTAATTTCAATTTTATTTCATCTTTTTTTTTTAAAAAAAGTAAAGGTAAAAAATAGATAAAGGGAAATTGTTTTTTTTTAAAGTAAAAAAAAAGAAAACGAAAAACTAGAAAGGACATTTCTTTCCTTTTTTTTTTGATCATTTCTGTTTAAATATCATTTCATTTTTAGAAGATGACAATCTATCAATTTTATCTTATTTCTCTCTCTCTCTTTCTCTGTCTCTCTCTCTGTCCCTCTCTTTTTCATTCATTTCCCTTTCAATTTATTTTTTATGAAATAATTTTTCCTACTTTTTTTTTTCTTTTTTTCAATGAGATTTTTTTTTAGTTTTAATTTTAAACAAAATAACGATAAAAAGAAAAGAGTATAGGATATGGGTTAGAGGGAATAATGAATTTAATCATAAATTATTCATATTTCAAATTTTTAAATGATAGAATTCATTTATTGAAATAATCCAATTAGAGTTTAGAATTTAACGATTAAAATTACAAATTTCGCATTTAGTAAAATATCGCAAATTTTTACGAATATGCATGTTTACGACAATTAAACGAAATTTTTTAGTTGCGAAGAGTGAAAAATTTTTCAATTTTTTGATTAAATTACAAAGTAATTCATTTAAATGTTATTTTTAATATGAAATATTATAAAATAATATTGATTTCTTATTTTTATTTTATTTTATTTCATTTTTTTTTTTTTGATATTAGCAATAAGCAATAACATTTGATAATTTTTATTTGTTATTTAAACAAATGAAAGAAATGATAGTATTATTTATTATCATATGATTATTTCATATGCACTATAATGATAAGTGATTTTAATTTTGATTCAGATATCAGTTTTATCGTTTGTATAAAATAAAACAAAATAAAATAAAAAAAGAAGGTAAGTAAGTAAGTAAGTAAAATTAAAGTTAAAAATAAAGTTAATTTTATCTATCATTGCTTAGCTATCAATATTGTTATATTTATATTTAGAGGAAATGAAATATCATTTAAGTCTTTCAGTTTTTTTTTTTCGTTTTTTCTTTGTTTTAAATTTTATTTTAAATTAATCAATAAAGTAGCGATGATTTTTTTTTTGTTAGAAATTTAAAAAATATAATGAGGTTATAATTTATGATATTTTAAGCAATAAAATTTTGAAAATTAATGGAGATAATTTTTTTTCTTTTTTTTTTTTGTTTCTTTTTTAAATTTAAAAAAAAAATATTTCTTTTTTTTGAAATTCACATCGTTATTTTGATTAATGCATTAGTTTTGGTTTGCTTTATTCTTTTCTTTTTTTTTTTGGTTTTTTGTTTGTTTTTTTTTAAAAGACATATTATTATTATTGATTATACATTTTTGTTGGATTTATTTCGAGAAACAGAAGATCAAAAAAAAAAAAATAAAATTAAAAAAAAAGGTAAAAAAGATGAAAAATGAAGGATCACAATTGATATGATCATAGAATATTGCACTTATAATTATTTCTTATTTTAAACTTTTTTTTTTTTGATTAGCTTTTTACTAACATTTTTTTTAAAAAAAAAGGAAGGATAATTTGATGAAAATTTTTATAATTCTTAGAATTCTTAGATTTTAATTTTTATATATGATGCATAAAATATAATTCAAATTTACATTTAAAAGAAATATTTTTATGAAAATTAAAGAAATGATTGAACATTTTATAGAATCAACAAATTAATTTCATTGATAGAAAAAAAAAGTGACTAAAAATTTTTTTGTTTGTTTTACTATGAAATAATTTTTAGTTAATTCATTCATTTAAATATTTAAATATTCACTTAAATATTATTATTATTACTAATTTTCATATATTATTTATATATATATTATATTATTATTATTATTATTATTAATTTTTTATACATTTAAATATTACTACCATTAAATTTCATCTAAATATTTATTAAAATATTAATAAAATATAAGAAAAGTATAGGAATTATGATTTGCTATTTAAATTTAAATAAAAGTAAATAAGTTTAAATGTTAATTAGCTAAGATAATTTGATCATTGGAATTTATCATCTTTGATTTTGGAGTAATTAAAGTACTTTATTGACATTAACTTGGACATTTTAAGTTAATGTAAATAAAACATTGCATTAAGGAAAGTGTAAACAAATACGACAAAATTCTTTTAACAAATAAAATTAACGATGACAATAAAATTTTAGTTTGTAAATGAAAAGTAGGAAAAAGGAAAATAAAAAAACTTTAAAATTTATAACATGAACAAAAATTAATTAACAAAAAGAAAAAAAAAGGGGAAAAATTGAAGAAAGCAATAATAATTGCAATTTAATCAATTTCATTTATTAATTAATTAAAAAAAAATTTATTTACAGGATTCGATGTCATGTTCATGTTCACAAACATATGTAAAAACATTATTGGTAAAAGATAAAATTACATTATTGAAAGAATCAATTATTGATGATTTTTCCTTGTTAATGTTCAAAAATTTAAGTGATTTACAGGTCATTTTTGTTTATTTTTATTTTTATTTTTGCTTTTTTTCATAATTAAAAAAAAAAGAGAGAGAAAGAGAAGAGAGAGAGAGAGAGAGAAAGAAAGAAAGAAAGAGTACTAATCAATTTAAATTTTTTTATGATAAAGCTATTTTAAAATTTTTATGTCCTTTACTTTTCTTTTTTTTTTTTAATTTGAAAAAAAAAGAAAGAAAGAAAGAAAAGAGAAGAAATCATATGATATTATTCATATGGATGACAAAGAAAAGAAAAAAAGAAAGAATATTAATAAGTATTAAAAGAATTTTTAGCGCTAATCGATTACACTTTTTAGTTTTCTTTTTTTTTTTTTTTTGTTTAAATGTTTAAATTTATTTATTAGTTTTTCCTTTTTTTTTTTTTTGGAAAAAAAAGAGAAAAGTATGAATAATATTATAATGTAAAATAATTTTCTAATATTTTATTTCAAAAAAATTTTTTATTTCATTTTTAATAATGAAAGAATTATTCTTTTTTTCTTTTCCTAAAATTTCAATTTTCTTCATTGATAGAATAAAATATTTATATGTAAATATATATGTATGTATGCATGTGTATGTATGTATGTATGTGTATGTATGTATGTATGTGTATGTATGTGTATGTGTATGTATGTGTGTATGTGTATGTATGTGTATGTGTATATGTATGTATGTGTATGTATGTGTATGTGTATGTATGTATGTATGTATGTATGTGTGTATGTGTGTATGTGTGTGTATGTATGTATGTATGTGTGTGTGTGTATGTATGTATGTATGTGTAACATTTGGGAATAAAAGATACCGCCGCGCTCGATTGTCCTTCACCTGATATCGTCCTAGTTTTAGGAAAAAGAGTAATCCATCCTATCCTTTCTCCTTTTCCTATCCATTCATTTCTTTCGTTCTCTTTAAAATTACTTTTGTTAAAGAAAAGTTACTAAAACAGAGAGCGAGAGAGAGAGAGAAAGGGGGAGAGAGAGAGAGAGAGAGAGAGAGAGAGAGAGAGAAAGAGAATGGAAGCTTTTAAATTTTGTGGCATGTAGATTTTCTATTGCGAATAAATTGTAATGTTGATTTTAGGGTCATGAATTTCTTTCATTTGTCAATGTTAAATTTCTTTATTTTGATGTAAAGTATTTAAAAAATAAATTAAATTTATTTTATTTTTTAAATTTTAATTGTTTCTTTATCATCTAATCATTTTGTTAATTTTCAGGTCTTTCAGGACGAACTGAAAGCTATCAAAGCAAAAGAGGAAGCAGAAGAGAAACGACGTAGGTATGAGGAAAATGTACGGTTAGGCTTAATTAAGAAAAAAGGCCGTAAAAGTAAGGCCCAATTAGAGAAGGAGCGAAAACTGGAGAGGAGACGTTTACGACGTGAAAAGAAGGAGCAACGTCGAAGAGATCGTAGAGAGCGTCGAGAACGTGAAGTGCGTGAAGGAACTAGCATTGATAGCGAAGAGCGACGATTACGCAAAGAGAGAAAACGTGAGCGAAAAGAACGACGTGAACGTGAAATGCGTGAGCGTGAATTAATTGGTGATGAAAAATTGGAAAAGAAGGAGCGTAAGCGAAAATTGAAAGATTCAAATGGAACTAAAAAATCCTCTCGACAATCGGTTAGTTTTTTGCATTTTAAATTTAAAATATTTGAATATTTGACAATTCGTATGCTATAACTCATTATCATATAAAGTGAGAAAAGTTTAACTTTAACAGCATGAAATTTCATTTTTGAATAGAAATAAAATTATTTTAGTTTTTTTTTTTTTTTTTTAAAAAAGAGAAAAAAAATTTTTTGATATATGAAATAGTTGTAAAGAAAAATGAATGGTTAAAAAAGCAGCAGCAGCAATCAACTTATCTTAAAGATTTTTTTTTCTCTCTCTCTCTCCTAATAACATGTATTTTTATTTTAAAGTTGAAATGTGTAATGCTTAGTTTGAAGAGATTTTGTGTGAAGAAGAGAAAAGTGAGAGAGAGAGAGGGAGAGAGAGAGGGAGAGAGAGAGAGAGGAGAGAGAGGTATTATGAGTGGAAGAAAAAAAAATTAAAAAAAAACTTCAAAAAATTTGAGCAAAATGGAACCGGAATTTTTCAATTTTTTGTTTGCAACAAAATGGGCTTAGTGAATTGTTTCCAAATGATTCTTTTGAAAATTTCTTTTTTTTTTCTATTTTTCTTTCTCTCTCTCTCTGTCTCTCTCTCTCTCTCAAAAAAAAAAAAAAAAAAAAGGAAATAATAATGATTTGATAAATGTGTTTCAATTCATTTCATTTCATTTTTTTGTTTTATTAATGATAACTTTTAATATTTTAAAATAATTTTATTGATTTTGTTCAATTAGTATTGTTATTTTATTTCATAAAAAAAAATGAAAAAAAAAAAAAAAACGAATATAAAATGATGTTAGAAAAATGAGAAAAATTTAGAAATTTTCTTTCATTCTTATATTCTTTTTTGCTTAATTGAAAAGTAATTTAGCAAAAAGAAAGAATGAAAAAAAAAAAAAAAATTGAAATACAATTTTTTTTTTCTTTTCTTTTCTTTTCTTTCTCTCTTACCTTTTCTTTCTTTATTGAATTTTTTTATGTTTTATTTTAAATTTATTTTTTGAATGAATAATTTATTCAATTGGAAATGAATCAAATTAGATGAATTGATTGACACATATTTTTGGACGTAAAAATTTTCCCTTTCAATGTTACAACGTAAATTCATTTCTTTATAAGTAGCAATAAAATAATATAATATTATGAGATAAGCTAAAATGACGTATCATTTTTTTTTTTTTTTTTTGATTAATATTATTTTGAGATATTTCTATTTTTTTTTTTTTTTTTTTAAAAAGAAGAGAAAACATTTTTTTCATTTTCCATTGTAATCAATCATACATTGTATGATTATTTATTTGATATTTTAATAAAAAAAAAAAAAAAAAATTGAATGTTTAAAATGGTTTATTTGACTGTCTTAAAAGAAACAAAAAAAAAAAAAGTAAATAAAAATAAAATTAAAAAAAAAATGAGAAATTTACACTTTTTACACCTTTTGCTTTTTTTTTTTTTTTCATCCATAAAATGTGGTTTTTCTCTTTCTTTTTTTTTTTATACAAAAACTTAAAATGATTGAAGGATTATTTTACACATTTCTTCTTCTTCTTTCATACAATGTTGAAAAATTTTTATTTAAAGAGGCCAAAGTATTGTAAACTGTTGAAATTTCTTGCATATTATCATTGAATAAGGACTATCTTCCCAAGGGCATCCATAAAATTTGTTAAACCTTTTTTTTTTGACAATAAATAAAAAAAACTCTTCATTTAACTAACTTTTTTTTTTCTTTTTAGTTTATAATAGTTTAAATTTATTTATTTATTTTTTTAAATAAATTATTTCAATCTATTCATTTAATTTTTGTTGTCAACATTGTTTCCATTATCAAATGCTTTTCTGATTGTTATTAGTTGCTAAAATCATATATATATTATGAATTTTTATATTTGACGTTTTTTCATTTTTTATTTACCATATACATTTGATAATTTTCACGTATTTTACACTTCCGTTTGTTTCACGTATTCTACGTTCCTTTCTTCTACTTCGTCTTTCTTTTTTTCTTCCTGTTATACGTCATATTTGGGTACAGCATTGTTAGCGTCAAATAAATATGAAAGAAATGATTCAGTGGTTTAATTAATTAAACTAACATTTATTAAAATATCATTTTTGTAGTCACGTCTTTTACGTAGTCACGTCTTTTACGTGTTTCACATCTTCACCATATCTACATGCATACATTTATATACTATCAACGTAACGTCATTTTATCATATTTGTTTGCTTTTTCATTTTTCTTTTCGATCGTAAAAAAAAAAAAAAAAGATCATAGAATTTATGTATCCAATAATTAAAAACTACGTTTGATTTATTTATTTATTTTTTTTTCTTTCTTTTTAATTTATTGTTTCATTTTGAAAAATTCCCTTTAACAAATTACAAATGTGAAAAAAATAAGTGAAAAAAAAAATTTTGTCTGTTTCGGAAATGACAACAATTTGTAAATTATATAAAAAAAAGAAAGAAAAAAGAAAAGAAAAACGAAAAGATTAAAAGAGAAAAGAGAAAATAAAAAAAAAAAAGATTGAAAATTTTTTTTTTTTTTTTTGAAAAATCTTTCGTTAGCTTATTGAATTCTTAATTAATGATTGGAGGATAAATGGATTCAAAAAATGGGAGAGAGAGAGAGAGAAGGGAAAGAGCGAGAGAGAGAGAGAGAGAAAAAAAAATGAAAATATTCCCTTATCGCAATTTTATTTCCTTTTTTTTTTCCTTAATTTTATCTTTCGTTCCGTTTTTTTTTTAGTTTATTTTAAATTCTATTTCATTCCTCACTTTGCTTTCTCACTCTTCTTCTTCTGTCCTTTTTTTTTTGCTTCTTTTTTTTCATAAAATTAAAATTATGCTTACTTCTTTATATCTTTTGTTGCTTCATTTTTTTTAAGATTTTTTCCTTTTTTTTTTCATCCTATTTCTTATCCTTTTTTTTTCTCTCTCTCTCTCTCTCTCTCTCTCTTTTCCATTATCGATTTTAATTGTCATTTGTTATTTTATTTTTTTTTTAAGAAATCGACCTTATAGGACATTTTATTTTCCAGCAAATTGCATATATATATATTTATTATATTATTAATATGTGAGAAATTCATTCTACGTCATACTTTTTTGTTAAAGAAAATATGTAGCAAATCGATTTCTTTTTCTTTTCATTTTTTAATTTTTTCTAAAAAAGAAAAATGAAAAAAAATAAAAAATATTGAAGAAAAATTTTTTTTATTTTTAAAGATAAGAAAAAAAAAATATGGAAAGAAAAGCTTTTTTTTTTTTTTATTTTATTTTTCTTCGTTTTCTCCTTCTCAGTAATCATTTTTATATTTTTAAAATTCAATTTTTTTTTTTTTTTTGAGTATTACTTCTGTCAAATACATTTGGAATAATTGAAGATGAATTATATTCAGTAAAAAAAAGAAAATAATTATCGCTTTTTTTTTCCTTTTTCATTTTTTCCAGTTTTTTTTCCTCTTTTTTGAATAGATTTAGTTTCGTTCTCATTTTTCTCATTCCATTCTTTTTTTTTTTTTCGTTTGTTTGTTTGTTTGTTTGTTTATTTAATGTTTAAATAAATAGGCTAAAATATTTTTTAGACATTATATAATTATATTTTTATTTAAATTTGCTTTTCCACTTGTTATTTTCTTTCTCATCTCTTCGTCTCCCTCTCTCTCTCTCTCTCTCTCTCTCTCTTTCTCTTTCTTTCTCGGCCTTCTTTACTTAGATTATAATTAATAGTGAAATTTTAATTAAAAAATAAAGAAGTGGAATTTACACCCAATTATCTCAGTTCATATTCTATTTAGAAAACATTTCAAAAATACTAAATATCACATTACGAGAAAAAAAAAATGTAAACAAAGAAAAGTAAAAAGGAGAAAAGCATATTTCAATTCTTTCTTTTTATATATGTATAAATTGTTCTTTTTTCAATAATTTGTCATCATTTCTATAGTTTTCTTTACTACTATCAATCTTCGACTGATAATAATATTTTTTCTTTTTTTTAACGAAAAATTTAAAAAAAAGAAATTTAACTTTAATTTATGTATTGTGAGATTTTTTTTTTTTTGGCAAAGGGAGAAGGAGGAGAAAGAAATTAGAGAGATCAATTTAAATTAAATTTTAAACCTTGCACATGTACATGGTTTGCTGGTTTAAATTTCCAAGACTGTGATATTTGTTGGGGGAGAAAAATTAGAAAAATCAATTTAAATTAAATTTAAGTAATGCCATCATGTATGTACATAATATTATTTTCCTTTCCCTTAATACCTCTTTTCTCTCTCTCTCTCTCTCTCTCTGTCTCTCTGCGAATTTTTTTTTCTGTTCGCATGTAGATATTTCATTGCTTTAATTTAATTTAATTTATATTTTTTTGGGTTTTTGTTTTTCTTTTCATTTGACGACAGTTTGTCCATTTTTCATTTCTAACATTTCTTTCATCTAATTTTGTTTACATTCATTAATTTATCAAATTAATTAGTCAATCAGTCAGTCAGTTAGTTAGTCATTCAGTCAATCAGTAAGTCAATCAATCAATCAATAAATCAATCAATCAGTCAATCATTAATTCAATCATTCGTTATTCTCAACGAAGCATTCGTTCATTTTTTTTTTTTCTCTTTTTCCTTGTCATTTTTATTTTTTTAACTTTTTCTTTTCCTTTTTCCTTTCTTCATTTCTCTGTTATTTATTATTTCATTTCATTTCTAATTTCTGTTATTTCATTCATACATATATATTTTTTTCTCTTTTTTTTCTTTGTATCATTTCATCTCATTTCTTTTCATTTGCATTTATTTTCATCCCTTTATTATCTTTCTAGATATTTTGTTATTATTATTTAAGATATAAATTTTAGATTGCAATTTCAATTTTTTTTTTTTTTTACTCTCAAACCTTCTTTTCCTCTCTCTCTCTCTCTCTCTTTCTCCTATAAATTTTTATATGGTTGTCCGTTTTTTTCTTTTTTTTTCTCTGATCATAATATTTCACAATAGTTGTTCA